TGGCAAGTATTTATTTATTTTTAAATGTCAAGTAAGAATTAATACCATCATAAACTCGAAGCCTGCAAGGTTATGGTCTCAACAAAGCATCTTGTAATATCCTATAGTCATTTGCTGCTCCCTCCCACCCAGCTAGGACATAGGTGAATAGTTTATTAGGGGTGCAGGTTGCTAGGACGTTTTGTGTCACACCTTTTCACCCTCTAAAAAGGGCAACTAGGTTACTGGGTAACACTGCGTCAACGTGTGTTATTTATCATACCAATGCAATCCTATAAAAATATATAAGTTATAAAATATTCAATAAAATTCCTATTTACTTAAAGAAGATGTTAAGGGGTATGTATTATTTTTACCTTGAAGTAAGGAAAATAATTTGGGTTGTTTGCAATCTCTGCAGGAATCTCATTTGGAGCTTGCTTCATATAGTGATCACGTAACTCATTCATTGCTTGTAGGACTTTATTGAAATACCTACTAACTGTTTCTCTCGGTCTTATGCGCTCAGTCCTTATTATTCTATTTTTAGTTTTATGACCCACTATACTTAGGAACATAGCGAGCTGTTCTTCAACTTGAACATGTCTGGTATTCTTTAATAAACTGTTTGCTTTCAATACCTCAACAAGTTTAAAAAAGGCACTCGGTCTCATTCTAATATAAGACCGACAACTTTCACTATAGCCTTCCAATACACGTCTGAAGTGAGCTTCTCTGCAATATTTTTTTTTTGATTTTTTCTTCCTTCGTAGAAGATAAAATTGTCTTGCGCTTAGCACGCATTCTCAGAATACAGGTTATTATCGTGACCACCGCAGACACAGATGTATTAGCACACATCTTCTTCAATTGTTCTTCATCTACGTTATCCATCTACATCCATTATAAAATTAGTATATATTTACAACTTAATAGTAATAATGTTTGGAGATTAAAATTAATTAAATAACTAATAAGAATATTGAAATTGTAAAACCATATATCTACATATCCACAAATATATATCAAGCAGTGAAACAATTGTTTCATATTTTGCACCCTAAGCATGCACGCTGATCAAACAAATATAATTAAAGTTTTCATTCCATGGTTTAATCGTTTGAAGGACTGCATTAACAAAAAAATCCAGAGAACCGAAAATCAATAATCAACTATGTACCAAAACCCTTGTTTCATCAGAGATTAGACATGTAATAAATTTTCAAAACCAGTGTTTTCTACTACCAATGTTAATTTCCTCAGAGCAAGCACAATGAAACGATCACATTAAAAGGGCGAAAATGTTTTGTACCTGCAGTTGCCAAGGGAATAATTCAGAAATTGATGCAGTTGCCAAGAAACCCCACCGGATGGAACAGACCCACAAAACCCACCAAAGCCAACAAACCCCATCGGACGGAACAGACCCACAAAACCCACCAAAGCCAACAAACCCCACCGAACGGAACAAACCCACATAACCCACCAAAGCCAACAAAGCGTCGAGCCTCGTCTTCGAAAAAGAAATTGAAGAGATGAGGCGGGATAAAGGGTCGCGGGAGAAGCCGAAGCCAATATCTTGGGCGAAGAAGATTGAGAAGAGGTGGCGAAGCCAAATCCACCAACCGAACCCACCAACATCATGAATCGAAGAACAGCGGGAGAGGAGGCGCGAAGAAGCTTGGGGAGAGGCGAGAGAAGAATTGGGGGAGTTGCCGATTCCAGATCGGGCTCGTGCTCGTGCTCGTGAAGATATGGAATTCGAAAACGAAGCGAAAGGACCGTTGTTAGCTTTTTTGAGCAATTCCTCTCGTGAATTTCTGATTTGGGTTTCCATAAAACATCGCTACTGTTCCACCTTTATAGATTTTGGAATCCATAAAATTTTTCTGAGCCAAACTCAAGATTAGGATTGATAAAGAATCCAAATATTACGTTTTTTCTAGTGTCAGATCCAAATACCAATCCTTATCTATAAATTGAGTGAAACAAACAGCCCCTTAGCAGCAAACTGAGGAAACACGAAGACAAAGGAAGCATGAACAGTAGTGGTCATAATTTGGAACACTACTTCCTAAAAGTATCCTTAGCATTTTAAAGTTAGTTAACTCTGAAAACAAAAGTAATAACAAAGATGACGGAGGGGCAGAAAAGAAAAATAAAAAAGTATACCTATACAGCTTTCAGACAATTTGTAAAATATTGGTTTCAAATTGTTACGCAAGTATTTGCTAGCATGGCATGAAATAATTACTCGCTAGCGTGCGTTTTGTAGTGACCGACGGACAGATTGCATCTTACTATATATAGAATGGTCTACTCGCTCAATACATTCATCGAGGCCTAAATAAATGTTTTTGGTCTTGGTAGGTTTCTATATTGTTTTTATATATGTTGGTATATAAAAATGTTTCTCGCGGGAGATTGCTGACAAAATCCTTAGCGCCGGCAAAGAGTTTGGCCTCTTTCAGGTAGGATTTTCATTTTTCTCTCCTTCGATACTTAATTCAACAAAGTCTCATCTCACTTTTCATGGTTCTTAATTTGTATACAATAAGTGTCGCTACATCTAAAACTCCCAGATTATAATGACAGTTGGGAGTTATATTTTTATGTTCTGATATATCTCATTACCGATTGAGTATCTTTTTTACAGGTCGAAACTTGAACTCACGTAGTAATGTCGGTTCTTAGAAAATCTTTTTTGCATTCATTGTCATTTTGATTTGAACCTAGATTACTTTGGTACCATCTTAGAGTCCTTGCCACTGCACACAAACTCTGAAGTTAAGGTGAAAATTGTGGGTTTATATTTTTATATTCTAACAATTACAATGTCAGGGACGTGACTGTCGAGTTTCAAGCAGAGCTGGAGGGATTGGCCATCAGGATCCTAAAGCTAATATCAGAGGGACTAGGCCTGGGTGAAGATTACTTCGGCAAAAATGATATTAACAAGGGTGCCAAAAAGGATAAATGTCAACCACTATCCACCATGTCCAGACCCAAGCCTGACATTGGCTGTTGTGCCTCACTGTAATCAGAGCCTTATAACTCTCCTTCTTCAAGGGGATGTCAGCGGGCTTCAGGTCCTACATTCTGGTGAATGGGTTAACGTCCACCCGTGATACAGAAGATCAAACATTGGACGAGACAAGAAGAAAAGCACCCGTGTCGACTCGGACATTAGATTAGGAAAGAGTTCCTTTTTGGTTATTTCCTTTTAGATTAGGAGAGAGTTCTTTTTGGTTATTTTCTTTTAGATTAGGAGAGAGTTCTTTTTGGTTATTTTCTTTTAGATTAGGAAATAGTTCCTTTTTTGTTATTACCTTTTAGATTCAGACTTTCTTTTTTATTAGAGTTAGGCAGGGCCGGCTTTGGGGCTGCTCCAGGTGAGCGCCCGCACAGGGCCCCCAATTTTTGGGGGCCCCCAAATTTTTTTTATATATGTATATTTATATATATGAAGAAAAAATGTGGACCGTCCATTTTATACCCAGCTTAATCTCAACCCTCTATTCAAAAATCTTCTTTCAAAAACACATCAGCTCCCAATTCTTCACCTATTCTCATTTCTCACTCAAATTCTCAACTCTCAAACCCTAGCTGCCAACACCCAGTTCTCCAAATCCAATCCCCCACCGGCCACCGCCACCGGCCACCGCCGCCCCGGCGCCCCCGCTGGCCGCTCAGACTCTGCAGACTTCGGGAATCTCCAAGACGGCGAGACTCCGACTTCTTCACTACTGACCGCCCGCCCCGATATTCTACAGACTTTGCCACTTTGGCCTTTAGGAATCGCCGCCGGCCGCCCCCGTTGAGCTCTGAATCGGTGCTCCGAGTCCGAGCTTGCCGTCGCTGCCCCCGCTGGCCGCTGTCAAGTTCGCCGGACTTCATCAGGTTGTATTGTTCCAACTTCCAAATCTTTGACTACTTTCAATTTGATTGTAATCAGTAATACTTTATTATAGATATAGAAATGCCTCCAAGAAAATATCCTTCTGGATATGATAAACGCATGAAAAAAAGAAAAATTGAACAATTTGTCCAAACTCAAAGTGGAGCGCTTGATAAATTTATTGTTAAAGAAACACAAGATTTAGTTGAAAATTCAATTGAAAATGATAATATTAATGATTTGGGTCTGAATGAGTATGCGAATGAAAATTTTAATCATAATGAAAATGATAATGAAAATGAGAATCAGAATGAAAGTGAGAATCATAATGAAAATGATAATGAAAATGAGAATCAGAATGAAAATGTGAATCATAATGAAAATGAAAATCAGAATGAAAATGATAATGAAAATGAGAATCAGAATGAAAATGTGAATCATAATGAAAATGATAATGAAAATGAGAATCAGAATGAAAATGAGAATCATAATGAAAATGATAATGAAAATGAGAATCATAATGAAAATGATAATGAAAATGAGAATGAAAATATTTTAGGCAATGAACAACCTAATCAGTCCATGCTCATGAATTTGAATATTTATGATCCAAGAACTTGGGATAATTTGGTATAAGAGATCTATTAGTTGAAAAAGGTCCTAAAGATAAATTAGGAAGATGTTTTTCTTCGGCATTTTACACTAGACATTTATCAAATAGAGAGAAATGTGATAGGGAATGGTTAGTTTATTCAAAGGATATCGATAAAGTATTTTGTTTTTGTTGTAAACTGTTTAAAAATGGTTTTAAGAAAAGTTTTTTAATAAATGAAGGATTTAATGATTGGATGCATCTTAGTGCTAGGCTTAAAGAACATGAAACAACTAATGAGCACATCATTAACATGAGTACTTGGCTTGATTTACGCATAAGATTAAAGAATAATAAAACAATTGATAAAAATATTCAAGAGCAAATTAATAAAGAGAGGGAACATTGGAAGAAAGTATTACAAAGAATAATTTCTGTTGTTAAATATCTTGCTAAACATAACTTGGCATTTCGAGGCACAAATGAGAGAATTTATCAAAATCATAATGGAAATTTTTTAGGCCTAATTGAAATGATTGCAGAAATAGGATCCGGTAATGCAAGAACATGTTCGACGTATTGACCATGGTGAAATTCATTATCATTATCTTGGTCATAGCATTCAAAATGAATTGATAAGTATGTTAGCTTCTAAAATCAAATGTGCAATAGTTCAAAAAATTAAAGAAGCTAAATATTTTTCAGTAATACTTGATTGTACTCCGGATGTAAGTCACCAAGAACAAATGACTTTAATATTACGATGTGTCGATATTTCTACAAGCCCGATAAAAATAGAAGAATTTTTTATAGAATTTTTAAAAGTAAATGATACATCTGGACAAGGGCTTTTTGAAGAATTACAAAATGTGCTAAAAACTCTTAATCTTGATATTGATAATGTACGAGGTCAAGGGTATGATAATGGGTCTAATATGAAAGGGAGACACCAAGGTGTACAAAAAAAAGTACTTGAAATAAATCCTAGAGCATTATACACGCCTTGTGGTTGTCATAGTCTTAATTTAACACTTTGTGACATGGCAAATTGTTGTGGTAAAGCAAAAGACTTTTTTGGAGTGATACAACGCATTTATACATTATTTTCTCACTCAACAAAGCGATGGCAAATTTTGATAAATAATGTAAAAGGTTTAACTGTGAAACCATTGTCGACTACACGTTGGGAAAGCCATATTGAAAGCGTTAAAGCAATTAGATTCCAAACGCTTGAAATAAGAGAAGCACTACTTCAGTTAGCAGAAACTGATAATGACTCCAAAATAAAGAGTGAAGCTGATTCTTTAGCAACACATGGAATTGGAAATTTTGAATTTTTATTAAGTATGATTATTTGGTATGATATATTGTTTGCTGTTAACTTAATTAGCAAATATTTACAATCTAAAGACATGCTTATTGATATTGCTATAGATCAAGTAAAATGATTGATTAGGTTTTTTGAGGAGTATAGAGAAGTTGGGTTCACACAAGCTATGACAATTGCTAAAGAAATTGCTATTGAAATGGAAATTGATTCTGTATTTTAAGTAAAACGTCAAATCCGTAGAAAAAGACAATTTGATGAGAATGTTAATGAGGAGACAACACAATCAGCTGAAGAATCTTTTAGAATCAATTATTTTTTGTGTATTGTAGATCAAGCTATTGGTTCACTAAAGAAAAGGTTTGAGCAATATAAAGCATATGAAGATATTTTTGGATTTTTGTTTGGTTCAGAAAAGTTAAACTCATTAGATGATAATAATTTGAAAGCATGTTGTGATAATCTTGAAATTGTTCTAAAATATAAAACATTTTCTGATCTTGATGGGAAAGATTTATATGGAGAACTAAAAATCTTACGATATATTTTACCAAAAGAAACAAAGATGGCTATTGATATACTGAATTTTTTAAAAATACAAAATTGTTTTCCAAATGCATGTATTGCTTATAGAATATTATTGACTATACCTGTTACAGTTGCATCTGCGAAGCACATAGTCGCGATTACTTTTTTTTGACAGGTAAAAATGCATATTACTTGAGCATATGCTTTAACAATTGAGCTTACTCCTACTTGTATGACTTCATTTTTGCAGGATTTGGGTGGTTCAGATCCTGAAGATGCAGAGTCTCAGAATCGCTTGCATTACTCATATGTAAGGTAGTCATTTTCGTAGAAGTTGGTGAATAGTAGTCCTCCAACAAAACAGGAGAAGAACTTGAACCTTATTTTATTCTAATTAAAGTTTTGGTTGTTGCTGCTAGTGTAGGATCATAATGGAAGTCCTTGGTAAATTTCGAACTCCTTACAAGAAAGTTCCTGGTACATGCGACCCCTTTGATCCTTGAATATTTTTTATTGGTACAGTTTGTTCTATTAATTTAAAGTTATTGGCAATGTCTCCACTGGGTACTCGAGACTATCTTTTGTTATACATTGCACGTTTATTTTTTTTGATAGATTGATATACATTGCACGTTGAGCATTTGATATTTTGACTGGCCTACTATGAATTAGTCTCAAACCTGTCATGTGGTTCAACATTGGGATTCAAATTGGAATTTATTGATATTTTGTATATAGAGAAAGGCCCTGTGTTTACTTTTCGCACAGGGCCCCTAAAATCTCAGATCCGGCCCTGGACTTAGGATAGGTTTAGTTGGCTATAAATAATAGTTCTTTTTGTAAATCAAGTAATTAACTCTTTAATTATTCAATTAAGAGAATTTTCTCTTTGTTTTCGTTCTCAACTTTGAGAAACTTAGAGTTTGTGTATTCAAGCTCATGAAATACCTGTTGTTATCAGGGCTCGTCGGCATCAGAATGATATCCGATCGGCCTCCCCGTTTCTACGTCTGCGTCAAGTGGTATCAAAGCTTCGGCTTCAACATCCTCGACAATGGCAGGTGACGGCGAGAACTTTCTCTACAGGATCTTTCTACGAGAATGGATTCTATGAATGGAAGATTTGGTACGTTAGAGGGGTCTATTTAGAACCTTCAACAAGCCATTGAAGGATTTACCATTCACCTCAACAATGGAAATAATTTCGCCAACGGTCTTCACCTAAGCGAACCCAAAGTTAGGCTACTCTGACATCCACCCCCGTAGAATCCCCAACACCCTCCAGTTCATCCCCCTCCATATCAACCACGTCCAAACCAAACCCCTCCATATCAGCCCCCTCCGCATCAACCTCCTCCATATCAAACACTTTTGTATCAAACTCCTCCATATCAACCCCCTCCACATCATAGACGACATCCCAACCAACCCCCTCCACATGATGAATCCAGTGACGAAGGAGCAGACTATGGTGCCCAATTTGAGGGACCATGGTACGAAAACTTCTCGAGCGAAGAAGAAGGAGGGCGACCTTATGGAAAAGGTCGAGGCAGAGGCTTCAAGCCTCATCGTAACTATCATCGACAGGGCAGACATCACCACGACCAAGAGTACCGGATGAAGGTGGAACTGTTGGCCTTCTTGTTTTGATGATGTTTAACAAATAATTTACCACTAATGTTGTTTGTCTAGTATTTGGTTCTTCTTATTTATTATAGACAAACAACGTAGTTGGAGGATGGATGGAATAGAGCTTCAACGATGATATCCAAAGGAGGTTGGCGGAATGTCGGGTTGAAGCCTATTCAATTCAAGTTAAAGATCAAGTTCAAGCTTCATCCGCAAGTGTACCAAGTCAAGCTTATTGAAGATCAAGATTGCTTGGGTAATGTAGTTTTAGATTTTATATTATGTGTGTTTAATACGTTAAGCTCAATATCTATACACACACATTTTATTGGTTTCTTCGTATATATATATATAGTTATATATATATACATAAGTTTTGGTTTCTATGCATATATATAGTTATATATATACATATATGTTTTTGGTGTAATAGTTTTTGAGTTTATATATGAAACAAATAAATAGAATTGGAAAATACTACTTTGTTTCATGTTAATATGCCTATATATGATTTCATCTTTAACAAGCTTATATTTAATGAAATCATATTTAGTGTTTTGAAAATATTGCATAGAATATGCAATCTTGTGAAAATATGGTATTCATTATTTTTTGGACTTAACAATAATCATATACATATTAAGTCTATATAATCATTGTGCAAAGTTTCAAAACATGGTTTAACCAAAATATCAAATTTCACATGTTTACATTTTCGTGTTTTGAACTATTTTGCAAAATAATGATTTTTCACAAATGGGAAATGCAATTTAGAAAATTCTTTTTGTAACACGTTCATTTACATGTTTATATACTTTTCCCAAAGTTTCATAATTTTTGGACTTCATTTGTTATTTTTAACACATTTTTAAAAGTCTCAAAAATAACTTTAAAAACATGTTTTGAGTGTATCAGATTTCATCCTGAATTCATGTGTTCACTGGGCGACAGAGAGTCTGTCGGTCGACCGATGAAATTTTCGGTCGACCGACGATAGCTCCATCGGTCGACCGGTGAAATTTCCGGTCGACCGACAACAGTGTTTTCAGCTTCCAACGGCAAGTTTTATTACCGTTGCTGGGGCTGTTTCTGTCTTTTGGCTTGGGGTTTTTGACTGAGTTTTTGTGTGGGTATAAATACTCCATTGCTGTTTTCCTTTAACGATCCAAGAGAGTTTTAAAAACAAGTTTAAGAAAGTTTTAATCAAGGGTTTAAGTTTGTTTTTAGTGTTTGTTTAAAAAGCTTTTAAGCATTTACAAGAGTTTAGTCTGTGGAGCAAATTTCACAAGAGGTGTGGTGAGAGACGGGGTCGAATCCAAGAGGAGTGGCGTCGGTTGACGTGCCTAGGGAGAGGTTGTAACCGAGCACTTGAGGAGGAGGACACGGGCTAGGACCAACACTTAGTGTGTGAGGTGTGATTACATAGTGATTGTATTGTGAGGTGTAAACGTTGTTCGGGTGAACGTAGAAAACCCGGTTGTGATAGTGGATATCTCCTCGAGGTGAGGAGCAGAGACGTAGGTCGTGGGGACCGAACTCCGTAATCATATTGTTTGTTTGTGATTGCATTGGCGCACTTACTTTTATGTTCATATCTTATATCGCCTTTGTATAGTGCTTGTTGATTATATTGCCCACTATCTAGTTTAGATTATTTACCCTTGAGTTTATATATTCTTGCACATACATTGCCTATATCTCTTTGTTAGGATATATCTTGTTGTTCATATTACTTATCCTAGCTCATATACATTGTTGTATTTCATACTTGCTAGGATAACTTGTTAATAAGTTTTAATTGACATAAAATCGGATTAGATTAGCATAATAAGTTTTAATTGACATAAAATCGGATTAGATTAGCATAAGACCCTAATCACCCCCCCTCTAGGGTCTTACAGGAACTTCTCACCTTTGGAGGAAATCTGGACATAGAGGCTTTCTTGGATTGAATATATAAAGTGGAGAAGTTCTTTGAGATGGCTAATGTACCCAAAGCAAATCAAGTGAAATTTGTGGCATATTGTCTCAAAGGAGGAACCGTGACATGGTGGGTTCAGACTCAAAACGCTAGGTGATGGCAATGTAAGTAACCAGTTCGGGTTTAGCGACGCATGAAGCAATTACTCCAGGCTAGGTTCCTATCACCCGACTACCAACAGATCCTTTACAACCAGTTCAAGCAATACCGTCAAGGAATCAGATCAGTAAGTGCCTATACCGAAGAGTTATTCTGTCTTACTTCTCGTTGCGATTTGTCTATGAGTGAGGAGCAACTCGCGGCCAAATATATCGGAGGTTTGAAGTATTCAATTCAAGAGAATGTGGTCATCCACAATGTGTACTCTGTGGACAAAGCCCATAACATGGCTCTCAAGGCGGAAAGATTAGCCTCCAATGTGTTACCTTTCAGACAAGCCGAACAGGGAGGTTCGGTCGAGAAGGAGTGAGGTGAGTCGGCCGAGCAAAGGACGACTGATCGGCATGTTCCTCTATGGTCGGCCGACCGGTCGACAACTCAACCAAAGCCCCCAATGACTCAAGCAAATCCGTATGCCAAACCGACTGTAGGGAAGTGTTTCCGATGTCTCCAACCAGGACATAAGTCCAACGAGTGCCCGCAACAGCGAAAGGTCAATCTAGCGAATTATGAAGAAGCCGAGGATAGACACAGGCATCCGAAGAAGAGTATGAGGAAGAGGTTGCATAGATTGAAGGCGATAATATGTCGTGTTGTTCAACAACTTCTGTGCGCTCAGAAGACACTAGATTCATCACAACGACACCAAATTTTTTTTTCTAGATGTTCAGTCAACAACAAGGTGTGCACCCTCATCATTAATAATGAAAGCTGTGAGAATATTGTGTCAAAGGCTTTGGTGGATCACTTAAAACTGCCGACTGAAATAAAACATGTGCCTTATACCATAGGATGGATCAAGAAGGGTCCCTCCGTGAATGTGACCTAAGTATACCGCGTACCACTATCACTAGGCAAGACTTATAGTGATTCTGTTGTTTGTGATGTTGTGGATATGGACGCGTGCCATCTATTGTTGGGACGGCCGTGGCAGTATGATGTTGACGCTAAGCATGGCGGTAAGAAGAACATGTACTCTTTTGTGTGGATGAATAAAATGATCATCCTACCACCTATTCCACCCTCTCCAAAGCACCCCAAAGATCAAAAGTCCAAACAAATATCTCTTTACAACAAATGTGAATTTCTAGCCGAGTCAAAGGAGTTAAAGCAGAGGTTTGCCTTAGTAGTGAAGGAAGAAGTGAAGACACTCATTGAGGTCCCAGGGAAGATGAAGTCACTGCTTAAGGAGTTCGAAGTGTTAATTCCTGAAGAGCTGCCAGAGGGTCTACCTCCCATGAGGGATATTCAACACCACATTGATTTCATCCCGGGTTCAGTACTTCCTAATCTCCTAAATTATCGCATGAACCCGTAGGAAAAGAAGATTTTACAGGATGCCATTGAGGACCTTAATAAGAAAGGCCACATCTGAGAGAGAATGAGTCAATGCGCAGTTCCAACACTGTTGACACCAAAGAAGGATGACAGTTGGCGGATGTGTGTGGATAGTAGGACCATTAACAAGATTACAATTCGCTACAGATTCACAATCCCTCGACTAGACGACATGTTAGATCAGTTGGGAGGCGCGAGCATCTTTTTGAAAGTCGACTTGAGGAGTGGATATCATCAGATCCGAATCCGACCCGGCGATGAGTGGAAGACTGCATTCAAGAGTAGTGAGGGCCTCTACAAATGTCAGGATGAGCAGGAACATATGTTGCATCTCCGAGAGGTCTTCCAAGTGCTAAAGGAGAATGAGCTTTACATCAACCTTTAGAGGTGTGTGTTCTTGATGACTCAACTTGTGTTCTTGGGATTCGTGGTAAGCTCGTAGGGGATCCAAGTCGATGAGGATAAAGTTAAGGCAATCAAGGATTGGCTGACTCCAACAAGTGTTACGGAAGAGGATCCAAGTCGATGAGGATAAAGTTAAGGCAATCAAGGATTGGCTGACTCCAACAAGTGTTACGGAAGTAAGAAGCTTTCATGGGCTAGCATCTTTTTGCAATCAAGGATTGGCTGACTCCAACAAGTGTTACGGAAGTAAGAAGCTTTCATGGGCTAGCATCTTTTTATCGGCGTTTCATTCGTAATTTCAGTTCTATAGTTGCTCCCATGACAAATTGCTTGAACAAGAAGAGGTGACTCAAGGTGTTCAATGAAGGAGACATGGTGATGGTTTACTTGCGGAAGGAACGGATGCCGGCTGGAACATACAACAAGCTTAAGCCGAAAAGATATGGACCGTTCAAGATTCTCAAGAAGATCAATGATAATGCATATGTAGTGGATCTCCCGCAAGGAATGGCTATGTCGGCGACATTTAACGTGGCGAATATTTCTGATTATCATCTTTCAATCAAGTTGTATTCGAGTGATGCGAACTCAGAGATGAATTCTTCTGAAGAAGGAGGGACTGATACAGGAGATCAAGCATTGGACGAGACAAAAAGAAAAACACCCGTGTCGACTCGGACATCAGATTAGGAAAGAGTTCTTTTTTGGTTATTTCCTTTTAGATTAGGAAAGAGTTATTTTTGGTTATTTCCTTTTAGATTAGGAAAGAGTTTCTTTTTGGTTATTTCCTTTTAGATTCAGACTTTCTTTTTTATTAGAGTTAGGATAGGTTTAGTTGGCTATAAATAATAGTTCCTTTTGTAAATCAAGTAATTAACTCTTCAATTATTCAATTAAGAGAATTTTCTCTTTGTTTTCGTTCTCAACTTTGAGAAACTTAGAGCTTGTGGATTCAAGCTCGTGAAATACTTGTTATTGTCAGGGCTCGTCGACATCAGAACGTTATCCGATCGGCTTAGTTGCACTTAAATACCCTGTAGTTTCACCAACTTTGCACATATGTATCCCTACTTGTATTTGGTTTGACTTGAATATCCTGAAGTTTCAAAAAGTTTCCCTCGTTAACCCCGATTATGCAAAAGTGCGAGTTTTCCTTGAAAATTCTCATGCGATGGTTACATGCTGATTGTAAAACATTTTAAACTTTTTTTTGGGTTAAATGTACCGTTAAACCTATCAAAATCCTATTTTAAACCGAAGTTCTCATTTGCGGTAGTACAATGGAGTTTGATAAAGTTTGATTGAAATAGATCACAACTAATGGACTGCTTAAAAGTGTTGAGCATCGAGCTGTGACGAACAAGAATGTTTTTAGAATGACAATCGGAACGTTCGTTATGCCCACCGATGACTCTGTCATAGCTCCAGCGGAAGCCCTAGTCGACGGGCAGCAGAATCCTCCGCTTTACAAGTCTTTCCCTCACAAGGACTTCTTCAATGCTTATTTGGCCAACCTTGCTAGCACAGAGAGTACCTTGAAAGCTTTTATGATTGAAAAGTTTAACCTATGATGAAACAGAACTACCATTTCTCCAGCTTTTACCCCTAAAATAAGGGCCATGTATCGAAATGTTGTGTTTAATTCTTCGGAAAGTTGTTACATTAATTTGGGTGGTCTTCCACTTTGATTCTAAGAGAAATTTAAGCATTATGATTGCTAAACTGTCATATTTGGTGTAAATTAAATTTTATTTGCAATTTAACATCATTGTATCTTAAACATTAATACAAGAAATAGCGAGAAGACGACATTTACGAAGATCCAATAAAATGATTAAGACTACACAAGAAAATCTAACAGATCTTAAAAATCATGTTCTGATGATACAATAGAGCTCGGTTCCTTGCATTAAAATTTGAAATCTGCGATCTTGTTTGACAAAAAACACAGCTTCAGGTCCCAAACTGACTCTGGTTGGCACATTCATCAATTAATATGGGAAACAATCAATCGAATCTGCATTCGGAGCTCCTGACTATAACTTCAACGGGCAAATAAAACACAAGTCAGAACATCTGCCTGTTGTTTCTACATGATACTTGAAAACATTAAAACTATTACCTAAGTTTCTTGTTTCTTTCGCGAAAACATAACAGTACTTGCGTATCTGAACCATGGTACTTCATATCAGACTACGGATGGAAGCAACAACGCAAATCTACACCACACATAACATCCACAACTTAAATGCAGCAGCAGTTCATGTGCCAATCTTGGCAACATTTGAGGCGCATCAGCCATGAGCATTTCCTGTCTGCAAACACTCCTTTACATGAGCATACAAGAAAGAACGCAAACGGAAATAAGAAAAAGCCGAGTCCTATGTTCCACTCTGGAAAAACCAATCACATCCTCCTTAGATGATCATTCGATAAACTGACTACAGCAAATAGTAGCAGATATTTCGCTGCTAAATGGCATCATAAAGATCATTACAAAATGCTATTTATGAGTCAACAACTTTCGCGCGTAAATGTAATAGATCCCTATTCTTGAGATTTCTCTTCAAACTTGGATAAAAGCCCTCATTTGAGAGAAAAACCAGAGTTTGGAGACTGTAAAAGTGCTCTTTGTAAGAAACATTCGTTACCAACAAGTCTTAAATTCAATCTACTATCGGCACGGGAAAAAAATCAGATTCGAGTCATATGTGCTTTCAACCGTATATGCAGATGTACATCAATTATAGGCAACCTCTTTTACCAGAAAAATTCATTTGCCAGCATACAATATCATCATATAGTTTTTTTAGATGGTTGACATAACTCATGCCACTTAAGCCCTTAAACTGCTTCATATCTAAGCAAATTCTAAAACTTGTGTGTTCAAAAAAAATCATAGAGAGAGATGACATAGGAACTGTCATAGATCTGACATAAGGATTGAAGACACTATTGAAGAACCCATACATGAAGGAAACATGTGTCACAAAAGTAACAAAACATACTCGCTTAATTGGATGCTTAGCTGCTATTCTATGCCCATGATGTAATAAGCTAATGTCTTCGTATTTCAATGAACAAGTACTCTTCTCCAGATGAAACAATCAAAGGATTCAAATTGCTCTCATGATCACAAGCTTACTTGTCTATTTCATGTTTAAAACAGTCAGTATTGTACAAATCTTAACTGTGAATGATTATTGCATTAATCAGAAGTCAGACTACTGTTAAGATTCCAGCTTATGCAATTCATCTTGTAAGACTCCTTTGAATAAAAAAGATAAGGTTGAAAGTGATGTGAGCATCGACAACTTAATTGTAGTATTTATTTACTTTAAAGCCATAACAACAGAGTGAGTTCATACAAAAACCTTAAGACTTAAACTTCTTCATAACAAACAGTACAGCAATGTATGATATCATACATAAACAGAATTAAATTATAGATGTAAGGTGATAAGTTGGGATACAATGCCCGCTGATCTGAAGAAAACTATAAGTTAAACGCGC